GCCAAATATCATCTTGTTTTATTGTTGCTGCTTTTTCTTCATTCACACTCTTTGATTTTACATAATACGCATTCCCTTCACGTACAGCTATCATTTGTGTTTCATCCTCATTCTTATATATCATTGCACCATCTTTGTCAAATAATACTTTGTATCCGTTATCAGTAACCTTTGCAACTGATAGTAGATTTGCATTTAAATTGGGAACATACAATACATTTTTTAATCTTACTTTGTTTTGAATCTCCTGTTGTTTCATGACAATTTCTCCTATTCCGCTTGAAATCAGCTTCTTTCCCTCTTTATCTGCCATAGTTACTTCTCTCTTTTCTTGTTCCATCACTTCAAAAATTCTCGCACTGTTTGCCATATGACTCGTAGAGCCTGAGTCTAATACCCACTCTAAGTCTTCTTTTATTGTTCTCTCCATAGATATTTTCTCATTTACCTGCAATACAGTCTCACCATCGGTTCGCATCATTGCTTCTCCTCTTCCACGTACATGGGAATTGTATCTTCCTCTACCAATTCCTCGATTATTACCTCGATTTCCTCTTCCTCATGTTGATACAAACCTTTTAGGCTTTTTACATTCTGCTGCAATGTGATTATGTCCTTGACAATTGAAACATTTTAATTTACTATAACATTCCTCTGCCATATGCCCTTTTTTCCCACAATTATAGCAATATGTTTCACTCTTTGGTTTCTCTCTCACCTCCCTTACGCTTTCATTGTCTCTTCCAGCCCTTTCTCCCCTTCTCTTTTCCTTACGTAGCTCTTCTTGTTTTAGTGTGTACCTTATATCATTGATGGTCACATCTCTCTGACACTCTAGCACTCTTACATTTTGGTCGAACTCTTGTCTCAAATTTTTCCTCTATTGACTTACCTAAGAGAATACATTGATTTTTTAGGGCCTCTGCTCTGTTTATATATGCATCCACACTTTCCTCTTTCTTCATTTGTAAATTTGACAACTCACTCAAGAATCTCGCTTTTAATTGCTCTGTCTCAGCTGCCATATTATTTTTAATTGAGTGCCATAATTTGTCTGCATTCCTTTCATGACTGTATCTTAAAAGTTGTGCCTTAGTCATTGTGTTTAAGATAATTGTCCTAGCAGCATAGTTGTCATCATCCCATTCGTTCCATGCTTTATATTTAACCTCATAATCAGCATCTTCTTCTTCAGGTTTCTTCAGTGATTTCACCCCTATGATTTTTTTCCATAGTTTTTTAGACCTCAATATTCCTTCTATCTTTTCACACCACAGGAAATAATTTGTATCATCTAACGGTTCCACCGACGCTATATTCCAGCTTTCCGCCATTACGCAGCACGTGTTGTTCTTCTCTTTATTGTTTATTCTCACACATAAAAAAACACTTTATAAACTACGAACCACTCTCTGCTACCACTTGTGGGAGGAATTTGGTAGTCAAATTAAAATGAGAGTCTTTCTGTTTAACAAATTAACGTATATATATTTTTCACAATGTTCTCTCACGCGTGCATCACACTCTCCCTATACATGGGACTTCTGCACGTCCCCCCCTCGCGCCCCAGCGTTGCCAACATCCACACTCATTCATTCCCCACTCACTCACCAGGCATACCACACAATAAAAATAACCCCACACCACATAGACCGATTACAAGATAATCCATGATATTGTTGCGCCGGGACGAGGCGTTTCTTGTTGAACTCATCAAAACACAATAACTAAACACAAAACTAGAAACTAAGAACTGATAAATAGGGAACTTTATTAACGGAGCTTTGTCAACACGTCTTTACTCTACGAGGTCTCTCGTAGTTCTGATCTTTTGAATCGTTGCCGGTTCCTCTGGCAACCGGAAGGAACGGGCTCTCGCTTCCGCTCGTTCGAAGGAGCAGTTTCACATCGTTGCGGAACAGTCTTCACGTTGCCGCAACGATGCATCTTCAGTCCGTCGCAACACTGCTCCCCCTCTTCAAAACGCGGACGTCCCGACCGCGGCAGATTTAGCTCGGACAGGCAACTTCAGTGTGAGCCTCCAACCTCCAAATCTGCCTCGAGTTTAAAACACCTCTGTCTGTAAAGTAAATAAACGAGTAGATCGAACGTTTACCTGAGTGGCCTTTACCAGACAGTTAGCGCCTTGACATTCGTCCTCCGTCTCAAGGAAAACCACTCAAAAACCTTGAGCAAGACTATTTATCAGTTCTTAGTTTCTAGTTTTGTGTTTAGTTATTGTGTTTTGATGAGTTCAACAAGAAACGCATCGTCCCGGCGCAACAATATGTAAACATACTTAGCAACAGTATGTCTGGAGGCGCTGTCGGTATAGGTAGTATCCTGAATTCAAACATTATCAACGAAATTATCAGTAAAATGGGACGAAAACGCAAGGAAACCTCTGAACAGGAAAGGAAAATTGTTATAAATTTACATAATAAGTGTAAAACACTCAGTGAAATTTCTAAAGTTTTAAATAGACCGAGGTCCACGATTCAAGGAATCATTAACAGATATGGCGATCGAAAAACTGTAAAAAATAATCCAAGAAACGGACGTAAACGAATAATAAATGAGTATAGCGGCCGATGGATAATTCGAAAAATAAAGCAAAATCCAAAGATAAGTGCGGTGAAAATCACAGCTGAACTTAAAAATGATCTGGACATTAATGTATGCAGTAGCACAGTGCGTAATTTTCTACGGGATAGAGGATATCACGGCAGAGTAGCTCGTAAGAAATATTTCGTAAATGAAATTAATAGAGAGAAACGATTGCATTTCGCGAAAGAGTACGTTAATGTTCCTATGGAGCACTGGAACCGTATTATATTTACTGATGAGAGTAAATTTAACATATTTGGGTCAGATGGACGATGTACAGTATGGCGGAAAAAAAATACCGAGTACGAAAAAAGAAATTTGAAGCCGACCGTAAAGCATGGAGGAGGATCAGTCACAGTTTGGCAGTTAGGCTCTATGAGTGCGAGCAGGGTTGGATCCCTCCATTTTATCGATGGTATCATGGATCACAAAATGTACATCGATATTCTAAAAGAGCATCTTCAGGTTAGTGCACATAAAATGCAGTTACAGGGCAATTATATATTTTTGCGAGATTATGATCCAAAGCATAATGCTTATAATACACGTCAGTGGATCCTATATAATGTGCCGCAGCAATTAAAAATCCCTCCACAGTCTCCAGACGTAAATGTGATAGAACACTTATGGAGTCATCTTGAAGAAAAAATTCGAGACCATCACATTTCTTCGAAAGAAGATTTAAAAAATGCACTTTTAGAGGAATGGAACAAAATTTCTAGTACTATAACCAAAAATTTAGTAAATTCAATGCCGCAAAGGCTTAAAGCGATTATACAATGTAAAGGAAATCCCACTAGATACTAAAATAGCAAATAGACTGATTTTTGTTACGTTTATGTACTAAAATTCATAGTTTTTGTTGTAAAATTAGAAGTGTACGAATACTTATTACACGTATATTTCACGCCAATTTCTGGAAATTTGTTAATATTTTCATAATAAATATAAATAAATAATTTATTGTTAATGACATTTGTTCCAGAGATTTCTAAGAATATGTATGCATGTTTTTGTTAACATACTTTTGTAATAAACAAAGTTCTGCAAAGGTTTTGTTCAAATTGACTAGTGTAGGAATACTTTTTACACTCACTGTATATTTCCTATTTACATCGGATGCTAACCCGAATTTGATACAAAATTTTGTTCAGTTCAAATATAAATCATCAGATAATTCGTAAAATAAGACAAAATCCAAAGATTAGTTAATCGCGTGGTCGTAATCGCTGTGAAATCATAATTTCGCAAATGTTAAGGCGTCGATTTCGGTGGGATCAGAGAACAGAGGGGTGAATAGTCTGGATTTTAAAATCGTTTCGTTCCGATTTATCGCAGTCAGGAATGCTTTGTACGATAGCAAAGTGTCTCCGATAACACGAACGATACGATGTTTTGTTCATTTGACGGCCGCTTCCCGCAGACCGCCAAAATGCGGTGAACGTGATGGAATCAGATACCAATTCATGCCGTCGTTAATTAATCATTCGAATATTGAATCATAATGTTAATTTATGGTAGCGAGTGGCTCCCTAACTTCTCGTTTAGCGCCTGCGAAATTAGAATCGTTAACCGTGATACCACTCGATGTGGATAGCTATTGTCGCGAAACATAGAAATTTGGTTAGACCTTGATTTTTCATCGGTTGCAATATATTTGTTTCTTTTATCAAAATCGCAAAATTGTAAGAGGCAAACATACTATGTGATATAGCCATGGATTCAGAAAAGAAATTGTGTTCTTTTTTGTTATTATGTAAATTGTAATTTCTTTTAAAATAATGTTATAAAGAAATTATTTTTTATAAAATTGATGATCAGCATTTATATGTACATAAAAAACCATGACACTTTTCCTTAAGAAGTTTCTTCTATCTATGATAGTTTTTGAGATAGCCTATTGTAGCTGAAACGTCGTTTCACCCCCTAAATATGAAAACGGGCCGATATAACAAAATACGTATATCTTATTTTTGGTGTAGAAATTTATCGACGAAATTAAAAAAGTTCAAATCGTTCTAAAAAAATATTTTTAGTTGGGGGGGGGGTTCAATTACAATCATTTTTGGTGGATAGACATACTTGTGAATTCCTATGCAGTTTCGAGAAAAAAATTCCTCACCGAAAATATAATGCGTAGCCAGAAATAATGATTCCTCGAAATTTCATGCGTATGTTTAAAACATCGTAACTTCTGAACGGATTCAACAATTTTAATGATTGACAGTAGTCGAAAGATTAAAGACCCAAAATCGTATCTTTTCAATTTGTTTCAATCTTCCAACGATTCCATAGGTTTGTTAGCATTAACTAGTAAATATTAAATCACAAAGATTAAAGATTTTTTTATAAATCTCGCAAATAATACGAGGGCTGTCGTTTTCTGTTTGCAGACTACGTGCCTAACAGAACTGCCAGACGTTGCGCCGTGCAACGGAACGGTGCGACTTCCGCCGCCATGCGAGGATTCCCCGAGCAGCGGCAGCAGCAAAGATCGCAGGGAGGAGAGTCCTCGAAGGAGGTGCCGAGTATTGGCGCCCATTTTGCTTCTGATTGGCGCTCTGCTCCTCGGAGGACTCTGTCTGCCGTTGCTTCTACAATCCGCGCCTGTTACGCATCAGCAGAGGCTGGACGTCATCAGGAGGATTCTCACTGAAGTGCCTCTGATCGACGGGTAAGTTCGCAAACGCACACGAAACACATACACTCCCAGCCATAAAGATAGCACATGTGTGCTATCTTTAATTTCTCACTGACACACGTACAATTTTGGGTTTGTAACGCATAATATAGTAAGCTTACGAGCTCAGAACATGCGGATCGTTGCAAAGAGGTCGCGGCATCACGGCGTTTTGTTTACAAAACAGAAACAGTGTTGTATTCTAGTAACGAAATGATACCACACTCCGTCTACATGTTTATAAACTGCTCAGTATTTCGCGATCTCTTAGGTATTCAAGACACGAAAGTATTGCCTAGTAATTTACAAGAATGGGACGGGGGAAAAAATTAACGACATCAGAAATAAAGCATATTCTTGAATTGAAAAGGCAAAATTTATCAGTATCTAAAATTTCGAAAATAACTAGCAGAAGTCGAAAGGTAATTTATAATTTACTTAAAAACGTGGAAAATTATGGTAAAAAGAAGAGTAGTGGAAGACCATCATCGTTGTCACAACGGGATAAACGAACTGTTTTGCGTATAACTTCCAATACCCAGTGTACAACAAAACAAATCATGCAAAAGGCTGGCGTCAATGCAAGTGTTTCAAGTGTTCGTCGTATATTACAATCATGCAAGCACATTAGAAGACTAAAAATAAAAAAGAAATCTGCATTAACTCCACGGCACAAACAAGAACGTTTACAATTTGCCAAAGATCGAATACACTGGAAGAAGAAGTGGCGAAAAGTGATATTTTCCGACGAAAAAAAATTTAATTTAAATGGATCTGATGGTTTAAACTATTATTTCCACGATCTAAGAAAAGAAAAATTGTCAAAAATTCGGCAAGCAATGGGCGGTGGTGGAGTAATGGTATGGGCGGCCATCGGTTACTTCGGTAAGACGGAAATAAAATTTATTCATGGAAAAATGAACAGTAAATATTATTTGGATTTGATAAAGCAACAAATAACAAAGCATGCCCTACGTATATCTGGGTCTGGATTCATATACAGTCCCTGGCCATCGAATTAGGACCACGTACGAAAATTTCACTTTTTTGCCTATAATAGTGTGTCATATATGGAAAATTGTCTTAGGTCATTTAAATTATTACTAAATACGTTAATAATGATGTTTACATAACAATTGATTTGTTACTATCGTGGTAATAATCAAAATTTGTGGGTGACGAGCGATTAAGGGCCGCTCCAGCGTTTACGTAAGACTCAAGTGTCGATAACGCGTGAAGTCAGATTTGGAGAATTCAAGATTTGTTTGTATATACATACATGATGAGAATGTGTTGCACTTATGGATGAGAGATCTTTAAAAGTTCAAATAACGAAGAAGAGAATCAGTTGTGACTGAATCGTTGAAGCGTTCATAACAAGTCAGCGTTAAGAGTTTTAGTAAGTGCATTTTATGAAATATGGGAAAACGACAGGACATTACTAGTGAGAAAAGGGCTTATATATGTGGTCTTCTGAAAAGTGGCAACCTTTCGCAGCGACAAATTGCGAAAAATGCTAATATTTCGCATCAAACAGTGATGAGAATCGCCAAATACACGAAGGAGAATGGGCCGCAGTTTTCAAACAAACGGTCATCCTGTCGCGGTAAACGAAAAACCACACAGAGAACAGACCGAAAAATTATAAAAACTGCACTAGAAAACCGTCACGCGACTACAAGAGTACTGGTGCACCGTCTTAAGAACGATGGAGTGGATATATCTGAGAGAACATTCAGAAGACGTTTATACGAAGCCAATATCAGATGCAGGCGACCAGTAAAAAGACCGAAATTAATGCCCAAAATGAGAAAATCTCGATTGGAATGGGCAAAGGCTCATTCCAATCTTAGCATAGTAGATTGGGAAAAGGTAATTTAAGAAAATTATTTTACGACTCTAACTGTATTTTCAAATTTTTACAATTTCTTCATATTTATTAGGTCATCTTCAGTGATGAAACACGGTTAGAAGCGGTTACGGAAACAGCTCAATTTGTCCGAGGAAGGTTACATGAGCAATTCCATCAAGATTGTGTGGTGCAATCGGTAAAACATCCACAAGCAGTGATGATATGGTCCTGTATAACAATTGAAGGACCAGGCCCACTTTATTTTGTTAATGGAACTATGAATGGCAAACAGTACGAAGATGTCATAGAGACCCGATTGCTTCCATTTTACACATCTGTAGGATCACAATATACGTATGTATATGCACGATGGAGCACCATGTCACAGAGCCAAATCCGTTAAAACCTTGCTTTCATCAAAAAATATCCCTTTGCTCCCATGGCCAGGCAATTTTCCCGACATGAATGCTATAGAAAATGTCTGGAGCCTACTTAAAAGAATAGTTTATGAATCTCCAAGCACCACATTACCACAGTTGAAAACAATAATTACAGATACATGTGAAAATAATGAAGACATCAAGCATATGATCAAGCAATGTATACGGAGCATGCCAGAAAGGATACAAGCTGTCATCAAAGCAAAGGGTGGAAATACAAGATATTAACGTGTGTTAACAATATTATGTACAGTAGTAGTATATTATGTTAGTAGTTAATAAATTATATCATTGCAATTTCAAAAAGCCTTTTAATTTTACGGAAAACGCGAAAAATGCTTAAAATTTGTAGTGGTCCTAATTCGATGGCCAGGGACTGTATCAGCAGGATAATGCAGCGGTACATACTGCAAAACTTGTAAAAACCTATTTTGAAAAAGAAAAGATACGTGTTTTATCATGGCCTGCGCGCTCACTGGATATTAATATTATCGAAAATTATTGGAGTCAACTCAGTCAAGCAGTTTACAAACATGGGAAACAATACGAGAATGTCCACGAACTAAAAGAAGCTATTGTCGCGGAATGGAGCAATTTAAATCAAGAAAATATTCAAAAATGATATAAGTCGTTACCAAATAGAGTGATTGAAATCATAGAAAATAAAGGAGGATGCACTCATTATTAAACAATTAATGAATAATTATATAGATTGATAATAAATTAAATAAATGTTTATTGCTTTATAAGTGTGCTATCATTTCGTCCTTCGTATACAACACTGTTTCTGTTTTGGAAACAAAACGCCGTGATGCTGCGACATCTTTGCAGCGATCCGCATGTTCTGAGCTTGTAAGCTTACTATATTATGTGTTACAAACCCAAAATTGTACGTGTGTCAGTGAGAAATTAAAGATAGCACACATGTAATATTCTTGGAAATTTCGTGACCAAAATTCGTTAAAAGTAAATTGTTTAATTATATTTTTACATAAAAACATGTTTCGGCCGCGAAGCTACTATGCCCTCTTGCTCTGTAGTGCGCGGACCGTGCGTATTACACAGCTCCGTCCTGTGTTCCCTTTCCGTTCTCGAAGGACCACCCCAACTGGTGTTTGAGAAAATACCGGTAACCTTGAAACCCGTTGCTTCAAGGAAGAGCCCGTTGCTCTTTTTAATTACACAAGAATGATTCTAAACTTGCGGAGAGTCGACTCGAGTTTGTAAGGCTCGATCAAACGAATCTAATGCTAAGAAGTAAAACTACCCTTAACCTAAGCTCGGTTTCCCCTGCCAAGGTGACGAAAACGCGCAGCGCGAACCGGTGGGAGGATTGATCAAGCCAATCCTCAAAGTTGTCACCTTGGCAGGGCGTTTCCTGCATTTTGCAACATTCGCGCCCACCCTGCTGTCCAGTGTCCAGGTAGACCATGCAGGAGTGAGCGAGAACGCTGCATTATTATTAACATTGGGAATACCCAATGACCGCGAGACCCCGGTGGTCCGCAGCTGTGTGCCAACGCGGGTTTACGATACGTCAATCGCTATTGAGGCAAGGAAGAGCTCCAAGGATTCCAAGTCCCGTGTGGAGTTTGGAGGTTCCTCAATGGCCGTATCCTAATTTATCAAGTAAAAATGTCTTGAAGGCCTAATCCTCAAAAATAGCGGAGAAGTCACGTCCGTATCATAAACCTCGCGATGTTAAGGTTCCTTCAGAATCCTTAACAAACAAGTCGAAAAGTCATTTACCGTTTTTCAATTCGACGTTCCGTTCTCGAGATACAAGCAATTATAGTTTCTGCGCGTGCAGTCAGCTGGCTAGGGATAAATTGGCGGCTGTGACCTTGATAATGTTTAACTGCTCATATCTCGAGAACTAAACGTTCGATTTTAAAACGATAAACGACTTTTCGATTCTTTTTCCCACGACGAATCTGAATCCTTCCTTTCTTTTCCTACTTTCGAAACATCCTGTATTTACTGACTCTGAAATGATTTCTAAATGGAAGCCTAGACTCTCCACCGAAGCTAGTTAACACGTTAACTTCTATGCCAACATTTGTTCAAATTATATCGCAAAACGTAGAAATATTCGAATATTTCAAATTAAAGTAGCGTTATTTATCATTTTAGAAGTATTAGGGTTCTTTCATTGTAAACAATATTGCAACACGTTGCGAGTATCAATGTTCAAAGTATCAATTAATTAACGTGTTAAGAGTTGCTTTTGGAAACAAAGATCGTATGTTGTGGAAAAGTTTACAGCTAGCAAACCTAAGGAATACGATCTTTCTTTTCGAGAACCTGATCCCTGGCTGGAAAAATTGTTCTGGCACATTATAATATCTCGAAAATACTTTGATTTCTTTAAAATGAAATCTACAAACACATATGAATACTAAGAGTTTGATTTGACCGGGCAGAAAAATTTTATAGAAGAGCTTTTATTAGATATTCCCGTTGCTTTTGTGTTTCAGGCACAACGATTTGCCCTGGAATGTCAGAAAGTTCGTACACAATCAACTCGGTGAGGTCAATTTGAGCAGCGACCTCGGGAGGGTTGACCCTTGGGCCGGGTCAGTCTGGAGTCACACAGACATTCCTAGATTGCGTGCTGGTCTCGTCGGTGCACAGGTCAGTCTAGAACAATTAGTAAATCTCGAATCGTCATGATTAAAAAAAAAAAGAATATGAGTTTTAAAACTTGATTACTGAAGACTAATATAGAAATTATGAGATTCGAATTAAAATAGCAAGATAGGGACCACAGGTAAAAGAAGACGCTACAGGGTTTTCCAATGAGAACGATAGAACTTTGAAGTAAAAATAAAATTAAAATTACGAAACATAATTTAATTCTTGTTGTTTTACTTCGATGTACGTAGATTCGATGATGTTGACTACAACACGTGCTCGAAATTCGTTGTCAATAAGTTCAGTCAGTTTTAACAGAACGGAAATATAAAGTTTATTATAAAAAATAAACTCAGTCTTCGGATTTAGATGGATTATTAATTTTAAAATTTAAATTGGACCACGTCAACAATATAGTCGTTAATATAAATAATAAAGTAAAGAAACTGGAGTCTACTATTAAAAATCTGAATTAATTTGAAGACCGGCATCATAAAGGAAATTGCTGTGAGCAATGAACGATCTAATAATCTCATTCTGTTTAACGTGGAGTAGGAATATCTTTCTAATGAAATGGCTCGAGTCAAAAATATCCTGAAAAATGTTCATCCGGGCTCATGTAATGATCTAGTTATCATCCGTCGGTTAGGAAGAAACTCTTTTGGGGACAAACCGAGACCGCATTGCGTATTTTGTACTTATTGTTAGTCGGAGAAACCGCTGGAGATCTTGAAAAATGAGTCTAAATATCGCGACACATGCAGTGCTATGACAAAGTATTGGCACTCTGCAGAGGATGCGAAACAACGATCGAAGAAAGAAAAATAATATTGAATCTTTCAGTCTCGTTTCGGAAATCGACGCGACCGGACGTGTTATCAAATAATTCGTACCGCTGACGAGTGCCATATACCGAGCGAACAAACAAGTGTCTACGTTAAGCTGTGTTGGTGCGACCAACACAGCTGTGCGAATCCACAAACCGGGTATACATACGTGGTGTGTGTGAGTGCGTGTGTGCCACCATGTCGCTGAATAAGACCCACCACAAAGAAGAATCCGCTACCCGCAAAGATTGCCACCAAAGCGATAGAAACCCATACACCCCAATGGATAAGGACCATAACATTTCAAACAACTCCACCGATCCAAAAGTCTCATACGCAAATATCATGAAACAAGAATATATACCAACCCAAGACCAGGCCATAATACTACAGTCAGTTGATGGCATCACAATAAAAGAATACGCTCGGGCTATAGGAAACATAGTAGGACCCAAAGCAATCAAATTCCTATCAAGAATATCCAATAGTAGAATATGTATGTACCTGGATAGTAAACACGCGGTCACAAACCTAACACATAAACATAAATCGGTGAACATAAACAATATAAACGTTGAATTCAGACCAATGGTGCTACCAGCTCAACGGATTATACTATCTAACGTTGCACCTATAATCTCCAACACCCACATCGAGAATATCTTTAAAAGCAACAATATTAAACTGCTCACGAAAATTACTCCACTAAAAGCAGGAATTACTGATCCAGATCTGTCTCATATTCTAAGCTTTAGGAGGCAGGTTTACGTCGATCCGGAAGAAGCCAAAAGTATACCGAGTTCCTTTACAATAACACTAGATAACAACACATATAGAATATTTTCCACAACAGAGAAACAGACATGCTTCAACTGCCAACAAGAAGGACACATAGCAAAACAATGTACAAACACGACAAACCCAAACAAACAAGATTCACACATCCATACACACACAATTCAAAATCTATCCCCATACTGCCCTCCTGCCGATTCCGCACCTGAAATCGAAATGCAAACTGAAACAGACATTACTAAAGAAACCGATCCACCAACACAAAATATCCCCGAAATAGCCGAACCCAGGAATGAAGGAACAGGAGATCCAATAGAAAACAAGACAGGAAACAAGAGACCACTATCCTCGACATCCGAAGAAAATATAATAAATCCAGTAAAATTAAGTGATCTCGACCTGGATACCAAGAGCCCAACTCGGCAAATAACGGAGAAACGTCACAACGCCCCTGAGCCAATCTTCAAAAAACCTAAACGCCCCCAGTCGCCCGCCTTCTCGATAGATAGAATTGACGAGATGCTCGAACCAGCAAAAGAGTACATCGACGACAAAAAAAATAACCAAGTTTTGGATTATCTCCAATTCAAAAGCTTTTTAGAAAATGCAATAAGTGCACACAACCCGAAGGAAATTTCCAAACAGTACACCAGCAACATGTCAGCCTTAGCCGAATTACTAATTAGAATCCACCCCCTACTCAAAGAGCGGTCAATCAAAATAAGAATACGCAAATTGCACCAGAAAATGGTTTGGGACCCACCTGAGCAATCCACACCCAATAGGTCATCGGAGGTAGAGGACGACTCATCAAGCTAGGTAACTACTAATTATTACCAAGTAGTCTACTAAACAACAGCCAGCTGCACAATGAAAACAATCATTCAGTGGAATATAAACGGATACTACACTCACTTCGAGCAACTTCAAACTATTGTTAAACAACACAATCCAGATATCCTATGTCTACAGGAAACAAATTTCAAAAAAAACCACAATCCATCACTGAAAAATTACAGCCTCCTTGCCAAAAACAGAGAAAATAGTAACATCGCCAGTGGTGGAGTAACTATTGCAATTTCCAACAAACATTCAGCAACTGAAATCCCGCTAAAAACAAACCTGGAAGCAATTGCAGCGACCATTCACTTCCCGAATAAAATCAATGTTTGTAATGTGTATTTACCAAATAGCCAACCCCTTCATCTTCAAGATATACAAAACTTAATAGAACAAATCCCTCCACCTGTAATCTTAACCGGGGACTTCAACAGTCACAACCCTCTGTGGGGGTCATCCAGGACTGACGCCCGTGGAAAGATAATTGAGAAGTTACTGCAAGATCCAAAACTAATTTTGCTTAACACAGGGCACCCTACACACTTTAACGCAAGCAACGGTTCCTTTAGTGCAATCGACTTAACCATCTGCGATTCCAAACTGGCTCAAAGCATAGAGTGGAGTGTGATAGAAGACCTACACGATAGCGATCATTTCCCACTCACTGTAACCTATGAAGACAATACCACCTACTGTCAACCGTCACAAATTCCTAAGTGAAACTTGAACAAATTTGACTGGGAAACATACCGAAACCAGATCAACATATCTCTTATGCCAATACGCAATAACACAATTTACCCTGCTAAAATTAACGATATTGTCAGTGAGTTGGAATCAATTATTACCAACGCAGCAAAAGCGGCCGCCGGTTCTACTGTAACAAAAGTTCCAAAAGCATGTAAAAAACGTTCGACTCCCTGGTGGAATAAAGAATGCGAAAGTGCGCTAAAAAATAGCCATCACGCCTTCAACAAAGTCAAGAAGAATCCTTCTACAGAAAACCTAATAGAGTACAAGAAACACCGCGCCAAATTCCGCAGGGTAATTAAAGAAAGTAAAAAACAATCTTGGAATGTTTATGTCTCATCCATAACAAACCAAACTCCCGCTAAACAAGTGTGGCAAAAAATCAAGCAAATAAATGGGAACAACCCTTACTTCGGAATCCAATACCTCAAAACGGACCAAAATCAAGTGATGACCAACGCAAAGGAAATTGCCAACACCCTCGCCGAAAAATTTAAATCAAACTCGAGTAGTAGTAACTACCCCACAGCCTTTCTTTCAAACATCACCGAACGAGAGAACGAAATAAAGGAGAAGCTTCGCCGTAGGGACGAAAAGGCAATAGACCCGATAATAAACTCCGATATATCTATGAGCGAATTAACCAACTGCCTTCAAATAACGAAAGACTCATCGCCTGGCCAAGATAATATTCCTAACAAATTACTGAAAAACCTCCCCACGAGTGCGAAAAGCTACCTGCTACAAATATACAACTGCATATGGACACATGAAGTCTTCCCTGATAACTGGAAGAAAGCCATCATTGTTCCAATTCTCAAACCTGCGAAAAACAAACACGAACCTGAGAGCTACCGCCCAATTGCACTAACTAACAATATGTGTAAACTATTTGAAAAAATAATCAATAGAAGACTCCGCTGGTTTCTTGAAAGTAACAATCTCCTATCCCCAACTCAATATGGATTTCGCGAACATCGCTCCACAATGGACGTACTCACCAGCGTGTATACAAATATATGCGACGCTTTTCAAAATAACGAGGCTCTAATTGCAGTGTACATGGACATCGAGAAGGCATGCGACATGGTCTGGAAACCGAAAATCATAAACTCTCTCATCGAACTAAACATCAACGGTCCCATGCTAGCCTTTATCATTAATTTCTTATCGAATAGGTCCATCCAAGTAAGAATCAATAACACGCTATCAGATCCGATGGAAATTGAAAACGGTGTACCCCAAGGTTCGGTGCTCAGCGTCACGCTATTTCTGCTTGGAATCAACGACATAACAAACGGTATAAGACCACCTGTAAATGCTCATCTATTTGCAGACGACCTCACACTAACGTGCAGTGGGAAAAACATACAAACCCTAAAAGAAATCCTGCAAACATCAATCGATAACCTACAAGAATGGTCCTATAGGTCTGGTCTCAAATTTTCTCCGCAAAAAACCCAATGCATTTTGTTTTCCAACAAACCCCGTCGAGAAACCCCAAACCTAACTATGGGGAATAATGAAATCAAATTCGTTGACAGCATCAAACTCCTCGGACTAATTTTTGACAAGCGACTATCCTGGATCTCCCATATAAAACACCTAAAATATTCCTGCCTAAAAAGGTTAAACGTCATCAAAACTCTGGCCAGTCACAACTGGGGTTCCGACCAAGAAATCCTACTCAAAACATACCAAGGCTTAATCAGATCCAAAATTGATTATGGTTGTACCGTATACAATTCAGCGAAACCACATATTTTAAAAATGATTGACCCCATCCAC